TGAACATGGATCTACACTGTCTGTTCAAGTCCCTGCTTTCAATTACTTTGGATATATTTACATAGAATTACTAGATCATATGGTAATTCTTTCTGAGGATCTGCCATGCTGTTTTCCACCAACATTGTGCAAGAGTTCCAGTTTCTCCACAACCTTGCCAATACTGTTGTTTTTTGTCAGAGCCATCCTAATGCACATGAATGGTATCTCACTGTGGAGATTTACATTCCCTAAGGATTAATCACGTTGAGAATCTGTTCATGTGTTTATTGGCCACTTGGATGTTCTCTTTGGAGAAAGTCTACCTACTTTTTAAAAAAATTAAACTTTTGTTGTTGTAGGAGTTCTTTGTATATTAACTTGCTCATTCTGAAGGTTGGCTATGATGACAGAGGTTTTAATTAAAAAATTTGTTTTGGTAGTGCTGGGGTTTGAACTCAGGGAGTCTTGCTGGCTAGGCAGGAGCTCTATCACTTGAGCCACTCCAATTTTTTAGATACAGCCTCGCTTTTTTTTTTTTTTTTTTTGGCCTGTTCCAGGCTGGACTACGTACGATCCTATTTATGGCTCTGGCAGTAGTTGGGATGACAGATGCACTCCACCCAACTTTTTCTGTTGCGATAAGGTCTTGTGAATCTTTTGCCTGGGCTCACCTTGAATTGCAATCCTCCGCCTATAAAAGCCAAAAAATTCATGGTATTGTCAACACTTGCCATATCTATGTTCCACTTCCTACTCATGCCTTAACCAACTTCATTCCAATGACTTTGGCTCCACCATCCAAGTCACTGATGAACCCCAGTGGACACTTCACAGACTTTGTCCTTCTTGGCCACTTGGAACAGTGAGAGATCTTTAGCTAGTTCCTCTCTCCCAGGAATCATGGGAAAAATCTTACTGTTCCCCTCAACTTCATCATGGCCATAATTGTCCTGTTTTATATTTACAATGGTGGGGGTGCTCTGGGGTTTCTGTTGGGCATATTTATTGTTAGTATCCTTCATTCTTTTTTTTTGCAGTACTGGGTTATTAACTCAGAGCCTACATCTTGAGCAACTCCACCAGCCCTTTTTTTGTGAAGCGTTTTTTTGAGATAGGGTCTCGTGAACCTTGCGCCTCCTAATCTCTGCCTCCTGAGTGGCTAGGATTACAGGCATGAGCCATTGGCACTCAGCAGCATCCTTCATTCTACATGTTTTGCCCACTGTAATAGAGCATGTTCCTCCCCCCAGAATTGTGACAAATAGATTCTAATATCTTGTTCAAAAAGAGGCAAAATGATAACACAAAACATCCTTTGTTTTCACCAATCAGCAATATTACCTACTTTCTGCTCCACCTCCCTGTTAGGTCCTTAGAGGTTCATTAGTATCATCTCTTCCCCACTTGAATTCTTATCCAATTCAGAGAGAACAAAGAAACAGAATCCTGAGGGGGTGGGAATGGCTGAGTTCAGAAGCTGTTAAACCCATTCCTGGTATCTTGACACCCAGATCAATTTCTGGGATTGGTGGTCCTTCCAACTCTTTGTCCCGTGATGCAGGGCCCCATTTACTCCAACTACCATATTCTCTTGCTACAGTTCAGATCCAGAATGTCTCCCAAAAGCTGTAGCGAGCTTTCTCTCACGCTTGGTTCTCTTGACCTAACTGGGAGTGACTGGAGATGCAGAAAGGACAAATGATAGAAGACAAAGCTGGGGCCAGGTGTGCTGGGCTCTTGGATGGAGACACACAATAGCCTTGTTGCTTCTTTTCTCTATTATTCTTCCTTTACTTTGCTTCTTTTCTTCTCTATTCTTTAAGGCCTTACTTCTAAAATCTTTCTTTAAAACCTTGCTTCTTTTCTATTCTTTAAAGTCTCTTTCCTTAGACTCGCTCTGTCCCATGTTTTCTTTAAAGTCTCAGTCCTCAGACTTGCACTGTGCCATGTTCCCTTTGATCTCTCTTAAAGTCTTGGCCCTCAGACTTGCAGACAAACAACAGCAGCCGTGTCTAAAACCTGCATTAACATAACTCTTAAAGTCTCGGTTCTTAGACTTCCAATGTCCCATGTTCTCTCTTTAGCTTTCTTAAAGTCTTGGTGGTCAGGCTTGCACTGTCCCATGTTTTTCTAATCTCTAGCATAACTCAGCAGCAGCAGCGTCATTCTGCAGTGGTCCCCTCGCAAGCTGCCAACCAATCAATCCATCCCCCATCAAAAAATCTTTCAAACCTCGTGTCCTCCTTCAGTGAGTCTTTTATATACAGTGGTAAACAAGGAGGTGAAGCAACAGTTCTGGGGAGGGATGTGACTTCGTAACAAGAGAAACCTGCATTCCTACTTCTCTGAATGTAAACAATTTAGGAAAAGCAGCTGTGCTGCATTTTGCCTCTCACTCTCTTCTGCAGCTGGGGCTGTGCCAAACTCAGCCTGTAGATCATTGAGCACAACTGTGCTTATGTCAAGTTCTCACAGGCTTCTCATAATCTGCTCCCCACAAAAAACCTGTATATTAAAGGGTTAATCCCCAACTTGGTGCTACTGGGAGGTGGGACTAAGTGGGAAGTCCTCAGATTATTGAGGGTGTGCCTTCAAAGAGGAATGTGGGAGCCCAGGCTCTTGCTCTTTTGTGTCCCAGTCACAAGGTGAGTGGCTTTGCTCCACCATGTGCTCCTGCTGTGATGAGCTATCTCACTACAAACCCAAAGTGATATAACCCATCAATCAAGGACTCCAAAACTGCAAGCCAAAATCAACCTTTTCTCTTTATGAGTTAATTATTTAAGGCATTTGTTATAGTGATAGAAAGCTGACTAATATATCTCCTCATCTTAAGGTCCTGTAGCATTGCCATCCTTCAATTTGAAGAGTTGATTCATGGGGTGCTTCTGTTCATTTGTGTTAAGTATTCAATTCTAAAATTTTAGACAGGGTTTATTTGGAACCAGAGAAATTATTTCTTTTAAACCATTTTAGTCTTAGGCTCAAACCCTACAAACACTATCAATCTTTTTTGCTGTACAACTTAAGAATGCTGGCATATTTCCAATTGATCAAATTCCAGTTCCAAAAACTGATCCTAGCAATGGTCAATAAGGTAAAGCTAAAACCTCAAAATTTAAGGCCTTCATCATTGCACACCATATTGGGAGACATCAATTAAAAAGTAACATAATCTTTTCCTTAGTCATTAGCAACAGATGGAACAGTATTCCATATTTTAGAAAATGTTCTGCAGATTGCCAAATTAAAAAATGGAACAAAGAGGAAACAATCAAACTTATGATCCCACTGTTTCAATTACTGCTAAACTCAAAAGTCCATTTGAGTTCCAATCTCATCTTGCTGACAATGGCAGGTCTTAGAGAAATGCTTGACCCTCAATTTGTTTTGAACAAGGCAGTAAAATAAAGATCCTGAACTCTCAGTCAATAGTCATATTGTCAAGTATCCCTTTTATTTTCTACACCCATAGATTCTAACATGTTCTTCTTTGAACTGCTTCAAAAGTCCACACATGAGAAGATTTCCTGCTACTTATCTATCTGCTCTCTAGCAGACCAAGATTTAGAGGCATGTTAGTAGGTGAAGAGGGGTCTGTTTGGCAATTCAGCTTCTTGAATCTTTCACTGGGAATACACTGGGATTCATATAATCTCACTCCACAGGGCCATTCAGAACCATGTCCTTTTCCAGGCTTCACCTGAAGCAAATAGAAAGGGACAACAGATCCCTAGAGTCAAGGTGGCCTAGTGCCTGACTTTAATAAAATAAAAACATAGGGCTGGGTATAGAATAGTTTGGGGAGTCAGGATGTAAAGTTTGGTGCTGGGGGTCACAATAAGGTAGATCATAAAAATGCAGAGACATTTTCATTAAATGCAGAGCTATTTTAGGTTTCAAGTAAGGCAATGTGCCAGAAGGGGTAGTGTGGAAAGACTGATCTAACAGTAGTAAGGAACATGTAACTATGACATGGTGTTAACCAAATATTGAGGTGCCTGTTTATGTTTCTAGCCTCCACATGCTAGATTTTGGCTTATTGGATGTGAGAAGTTGATGTAAGCAGGTCCCTTAAAAATATCCCATAAATTCCTCTAGCTTGCTCTTCTTCTTTCATGGTAACTTTGGAGGGAGCCCCATTTCTTTGGGAGCTTATCTGTTATTGCACCACAGCCTAGGATATCCCTCTTTGACAATGAAGAGAGAACTAGAATAAGGAATTGATTACTGAGGTCACGGGAGCCTGGGAAGATAAAGGTACAGGGTGGACTGTGAAAATTCAGAGAAAGGATGTGAATCAAAGAGGGTTCTGAATGGAAAACTTGGTATTCATTCAGGTATTTGTTCACCACCTACTATTTGCAAAGAACTGTAAGTCAGACCTCCAAGCACTTGCAATTTAGTTCAGAAGATAATACAATAAATTATAAAATGAAATTTAGAACATATGATATAGAGAAAAGACTTTGAAGGCAGACCCATACTCAAGACCTGGCTTCACCTTTCACTACCTGTGTCACCTTGGGCAAGTTATTTAATCTCTCTAAACTTCAGAGTGCTTATCTATAAAAAGGAATGCAGACAGCAACTGCCTATTTCCGAGATGGTGAGTGGATCAACCAATCTATTCTTTGTTTAACTCTCAGCTGAGTGTTTACCCCATACTAAGTGCTCAGTAAGTGCTACCTACTACTAGTAGTACTAAGAGATCTAAAAGATGGGGCATAAGAGAACAAGGTCAGTGTCCCAAACCTCCAAGAGAGAGGGACTAACAGCCATAAAAACATCTCTGGAGAAAACAGTGCTGCTCTCTGTGAATTGTGCCCTTCCACTCTTGTAGTAGCCTCCAGTTATTTAAAGTGCAGAGATACCTGGGGCCTAGGTACTGACAGATGTGTCTGAGGATCCCCTTCTAACATCTGTTCTCTTGTCCGACAATCTCTCCCAAATTTGAACCCATGGCTTCCCACATGCTAGGCAAGTGCTCTACTTCTGAGTGATACCCCCAGGCCCTCTCCAAAATTTTGAATTGGTAGAGTAATTTCCTAATTTCCACATCCCAAGTCAGTTCTGTAAAACAGAGTGTTTGTTCAGACATGTGGAGGAAAGGCAGGACAGAACAGTAGCCCAAGTGGGCAGAATGAGCAAATGCAGGGTTTCTTTAGGACAGGGAGACCTGTCTTAAGTTTATAGGGAGGTTTTTGTCTTACTCCAGCTTCCACCTGACTCAGTCTATTCCCTGTTTGGCATAACGCCGCTGATGTTGAATGACTGATGATTTTGAACTGAAAACTTTCCCGCACACACTGCACTCAAAGGGCTTCTCTCCTGTATGAACTCTCTGATGCCGCGTGAGCCGGCACCTCTGGCTAAAGGCTTTCCCACACTCGCTGCATTCATAAGGCTTGTCTCCAGTATGGATCTTCTGATGTTGCGTGAGTGATGAGCGATCAAAGAAAGCTTTGCCACATTCATTACACTGATAGCGCGGCTCCCCAGTGTGAGCTTTCTGGTGCCTGTTCAGTGAGGAGACACCATAGAAGGCTTTCCCGCATTCACTGCATTCGTATGGCTTCCTGCCAGTGTGGATCAGCTGATGGCGAGTGAGAATGCTCTTCTGGCTAAAGGCTTTCCCACACTGGTGACATTCATAAGGACTCTCTCCAGTGTGAATTCTCTGGTGACGAGTAAGGGAGGACCGATCAAAGAAGGCTTTTCCACACTCACTGCACTTAAAGGGCTTCTCTCCCGTGTGAATCCGCTGATGCACAGTTAGGGAGGACCGGTCAAAGAAGGCTTTGCCACATGCACTGCACTCATAGGGGCTCTCCCCAGTGTGCGACATCAGATGTCTGCTGAGACTGCTCCTGTGACTAAAGGCCTTCCCGCACTCAGGACAGTCATAGGGCTTCTCTCCAGTGTGAGTTCTTTGGTGGCGGATGAGGGAGGAGTGATCAAAGAAGGTCTTCCCACAGTCACTGCATTCTTGGTCTCGGTCTTTATTGAGAATTTTCTTGGGTGTAGCTGACCCTCCCTGAAAGCTTTTATCCTGGGAAAGTGATTTCTTGCAAGTCTTCACTAGGGGGCTTTTGTTCTCTACCTCCAACCCCCACTCTGGTGCTTGAACTTCAAGTTTAGCACACAGAGAACTTTGTCTTCCAGGGCTTTCCCTCAGTGTTCCTCCTGGTTTTACTTCTTCTGAAGCATCTTGAATCTCAGGCTTAGTCTCCCAGTCTGGAATAAAGAGAAAACACAGATGTGGTTTCTTCCCTGGGTTGGGAATATTGCAGGGGAAAAAAGAAGCACTATGATGAATCTGAAAGTAATGCATGGTCCCAGCATAAATAGTCTTACACTCTAGGAAAAGCCTGAGACTTGGGAATGAAGGAGGCAGGGAAGAAGACTGAAGCAGACATCTCAGAGTATAGGGGAATGTCCACTGGAAGCAGGGCCAATATAATTAGGAGCAGACTGAGTGGAGAGGTTGGCAGCCAAAAGAAATATTGAAGTATGAATAGATAATGTGTCAGACCTGAGAAAATAAACAATTTGTGAATACAAATAATATTTTAAGGTGTACAGGAAGAAAAGCAAAACAAAAGAAAGCCTATGGGTGATATAAAAGAAACACTTAAGCAGATGACTTGAATTTGAGAAAAAGGTGTCCCACCTTTTTCTCACACACCCAAATCACAAACAAAACAAAACAAAACAAAACTCTACCCCATCCTGTTCATGCTCAGTTACCTAGAGAGACACTTTGTGGACACTCTCGCTTCTTTGATCCATGAAGACCCTCTATCCATGGCTCATCCTCTCTCTTCAACTGGAAAATCACATCAGGTTGAGGACCTGGAAGGCCTGCTCATGGAGAAATAAACAAGCCAGGCAATTGTATGTGATGAAAATACACAGATATTCCAAAGCTTGATCCTAGCATCTAAGTCTTTCAGAGAGACACTGCAAAAGGCTGAAGATGCAAGCTAAGAATGCAGAGCACAGAGTAAAGGAACCTCTGAGTGTAGATCAGGACTAAGGGTCTAGAAAGGAACAAGTGGCACTTTGTCAGAATGTTGACAAAATCCACTTGAATTCATGTGAAGTGGATAAGAAGCTTCCCACCCAGGCATTGGTAGGATGAAGGTCCTTGGCTCAAAGGAGGTGAGTATTATGTTTTTATTGAAACAAGTCAATTGTGTTCATTACAGGATAATTAGAGATCTGTACTAGTAAAAAGTATACTTTGTATTCATCCATCTCTTTCTTTCTTGTTTTTTGTTGTTACTGTTTTTTTTTTTTTTTTTTTTGTAGTACTGGGGTTTGAACTCAGGGCCTTGCACTTGCCAGGCAGGCGCTTACCACTTGAGTTATGCCCCCAGCCCTTTTTGCTTTAATTCCCTTCTCCAGTAGGGTCTCATTTTTATTTCAGGGCTGACCTGGACTTCCATCTTCCTATTTATGCTTTGTGCACAGACGGAATGACAAGCGTGCATCGCCATGCCTCGCATTTTTGCTGACTGAGATGGGCTTTTTGCCCAGGCTGGCCTCAAAACCATGATCCTCTGAACTCTGCCTTCAGAGTAGCTACAGTTAGGAGTGCGGTTCACTATGCCCAGCTCTATTTATTTTGATACTGAAAGATACTTAGAGATGCATTCTGCTAAAAACTGAATAATAAAATAATGCTGACTTATAAATTTAAATTTTTACACAATAAACGTAAAATATTTAATTTCAATTAGCACAGATCTATCTCAACATTTTAATGGCTACATGACAGTACATTGTATGGAATAATGAAATTTATTTAACAGACCCAAGCTGACAGACATTTTAGACTGTTTCTAGTGTTTTGCTATTAACACACAATGGTATGATGAACACCTGCAGGCCCATGAATTGCCAATCCTATTATTTCCTTAGGATCAGTTCCTATAAGCAAACCTACCATTTTCAGACCCTATCCTAGAAATGGGCTGAGCTCTAAGCTTCCCTTTCATGAAGGCCACACCTTGGGAAAGACAGGCACTTTCTTTCTGGGCCTCTGGTTGTGTGCTGATTCTCTGCTGTCAAAATGGCCACATCCATCTTCTCCCTGTGGCTTCTTGTCTTGACCTTAGAATTCCACATTCCCCAATATTTCACCCTGCTAAAGCCTGTGACAAAGACTCAGTGGTGTCCTCAATGCCTCCTGAACATTCCATTCTGCTTGGGATACTATTTGGTCTATTAAAGCTAATCCAGGGGGTATTTATGCTGGCTTTTTTTATCTGCCTCATATAAAATCTGAAATGTGACTTTTAGTGTCACCTGCTGCTTATTTTCAGCCTGCTTCTGAATCTGTACACTCTCTCAGCCCCTCTTTTTTGGAGAAAGGTTCCCACTAAGTAGCCTCCTAAGTAGCTAGGACTACAGGTGCAAGTCACCATACCTGACTTCAGCTTCTTACTCTTGAAGCTCCTGAGAGGTTCTCACTACCTACAGGAGCCCAACTTTACTTCTCACTAACACATGACATCAGCAATAGCTCTTAATTTCTCTTTTGTCACACAAGTCTCTGTAATTGCAATATGCCTTCTATGGACCTCTCTCTAAGACAGCCCTTTAGACAAATATTCAAAGTGAAACACACTTCTGGTGATTTCTGCAGATACTATCCTGTGCTCCCCCACCCCATACATTCTTCACTCCTTTTAAAGGGAGACACTTCTTTTCCCCCTGGCTTCCATGAAGGAAAATTCCCCCTCACTAAGATGGCCGCTGGTTCCACTATTTAGTCCTCTGGATGGAGCTGAGGATGTTACCTGACTGGTGAGTTACCTGGGCCTATGTGACTCTTCTACTTGCTGCCTCTGGAGAGCTGGCTCCCCATGTCTGGCACACACTGAGCTTTATCCCCAGCCCTCCCTCTGTTTTGCAGGGCCAGGCTGCTGAGAGAGGGAACTTGTGGTTGCCCAGCGCTGCTAACCTCTGGGAGACCATGTCTATCCAGTGTTAGCATTCGGAATTAAGAAGCTCACTGATGCTCTACACCTAAGCCATATCCTTTGGCTTTTCCTTTGTCTGTCAGGTGGCTCAGAAGTCAAGTAGAGGGAGGAAAAAGCAGTAATTTCTCAGCTCTCCAAGTCTGTACTGGCACAGGACAGGTTCTAACTCCTCACAGGCAGCCTCCTTACCCAGTGAGACAATGCTCTCATAGTTCTCAAGCATTACCGCCTTGTAGAGGGCCCTCTGAACAGGAATCAGATGCTTCCACTCTTCATCTGTAAAAATGATGGCCACATCCTCGAATGTTACGGAATCCTGAAAGCACAAGCACATTCTCTCTTACTCAGAACACTTCTCTGTACTTGGACCAGACTGAAATGTTATAAAGATGACAGCCCTGGGGATGTGGAGAGGTTAGGAGGGGAATGGTTCTGACAAAGTGAGGATCTGAAGCATTTGAGGAAAGTAGCTGATCCCCTAAGGCATGAAGTTCTTGGTAATAGTCCATCACCCATGCAGTGAAGTAGGGGCCACAGTCCTGTGCCATTCTACCTACTGCTGACAGTGACAGGCTCTTTTTTTTCAGACTTACAGAAAACTGGGAAGAACAGAACAAAAAATTCCCACATACCCTTTATCCAGCTTCCCCAAATGTTAGTATTTTTCCACATTTGCTCTTTCTGTCTATATATATATTTCTCCTAACTTTGTCCCGAACTTATTGAGAAACTTGTGAACATCTTATCACTTTACTCTTAAATGTTTCATTGTACATTGTGTAAAAAGCAAGGCATTCTCTTGTATAATCATAAAAACCAAGAAAACATCATTGATATTGTACTATCTAATCTATGACCTTATTAAAATTTCACTAATTGTCTATTTTTTAAATGAATCTTTAGAACAGGATCAGATGATCTTTAGATTTTCTCTCAGTTCACCCGAATGCTCTTTGATTCTGTAAGCCTGCATCTTTACCTCTGGCTGAAGAACCCAGATGAGTCTCCAGACATTTTGGGCCAGAGAAGGGAATTCAAGACTTGCTGTCCTGGAATGGAGCAAGCTACATGCCCCTATCCAGTGAGACTCTTCAGACTCCATTCAGCCTCGCTGAGGTGCTCTACAACATGTACCACACTCCTAGCCGAGCCCAGCACTCCTCTAAACACTGGCTCTGGCTCTCAGTCCATATGGTGATGAACTAAAGGGAAAGACAGGCTGAGACCAGCCCATTGCTTTCCAAACCTTTCCATCAGACCCATTCCATCAGCTTTTAGGCAAAGTCACTCAGAGCAAAGGCTGCAGGTATTCTGCACCTACTGACAAGCTAGTGGGCACATGCTTAATGTAAGAGAAGGTGACTGAAGGACATCTCAAGTCAAATGGGAAGGAAGTATTCCCTTGGAGCCCTTCATCAGTATGGTGGGGTCTGAAGCTCTAGGATGAAGAAAAGTGGTTATATAGAGTATTTCAGAAACACAAAAAAAGTTTACCTCACCTGGCACCTGGCAGATGCACACAAGGCAGCCATTGATCCTGGCAGGAAAGGGCAGAGTCCTAGTGAGACAGAGGTGTGGGGTTGAAAGTTTTGAAAAAAACAGTCCTAATTTTTAGACTTCTGATCCATGAAGCAAGGACTCTCCATATACCAGTGGGCTATGTACCCACCCCCATCCCCAATATTCTTTAGGCAAAGTAAAGCAAGGCCAAGGGCGACTCCAGTTCATCCCAGAGCTGGAGCCCAAGGCCACAAACATTGCAAGTTAGACCACAACTTGGTGCTATTTTGCCATGATCCTTAGGGCAGAGTTCTGTTCCTGGGAGTCAGACCATATTAAGGGTCATATACTTATACATTCACATTCAATATTGCCCTGAATGCTTACTGGTAAAAAACCTTAAACAACTTGGTAAATGACAACATGGACAAGACATGCCAAATAAAACACATAGCCTCTTTGAAGGAAAAATGCCCCATTTACAGCCCTTGCTAAAGGAGCAGCCCTTGGGTAGCCATGCTTTGTACCATGTTGATTCTGTTTCATTCCTGGAGCAGCTGATTAAATCATAGCTGTATGGGAACATCTGATCAGGCAGAGATCTGAAGGGCTATGTTTCAAGGCCAGCCCAGGCAAAACTTTCGTGAGACCCCACCCCCACCCCATCTAAAGCAATGGCTGAGTGTGGTGGTGTGTGCTGTCATCCTAGCTACGTGGGGAAGCATGAATAGTAGGATCATGGTCCAGGCCAGCCCTGGCATAAAATGAGACCCTACCTCAAAAATGACCAACACAAAAAGAGCTGACAGTGTAATTTTAGCTACTTGTGAGGCTGAGATCAAGAGGATCATGGTTCCAGGCCAGTCTAGGCAAAAATTCAACAAGACCCTATCTCAACAAATAGCTACCACAGTGGTGAATACACAGGCATTCAGGTACATGGGAGGATTGTGGTTCCAGGTCAGTCTGGGCAAAAAAGATTGTGAGATAGTATCTCACAAACTAGGTTTGGTCATGTGTGCCTGTCATTCCAGTGATCATGGGACACATAAAACAGTATTGTGGTCCAGGCTGACCTGGACAAAAAGTAAGACCCTATCTCCAAATAACCAGAGCAAAAAGGGCTGGAAGCATGGCTCAAGCAGTAGAGTGACTGCCTTTCAATTGTGAAGGGCCCTAGTTCAAACCCCATTACTAAAAAAAAAAAAAAAAACAAAAAAAAAAAACTATCAGGTTAGGACAACACATGAGTGATGAGGTGAAAGGATATTAAGAAGTCAGAAGTAGCCATGAGTTACCAGGAAGCAAAATCCACGGACTGTGGGTCATATTAATGGTGAAGCACTAAAGCAAAGACCTAAGAATTCTTAGCCCTTGAGTCCTTCACCTCACCTAGAACCACCTATAGAATCCAATTTCCATGCAGATCAGCCTTATTTATCCTTATATCTTCATAAGAGATCTTGGGCTTATGAGAATTTTTATCTCTAACTCTTTTTACTGGAGTTACCTATGTCTTACTTTCTCAGAATTAAAATGACAGTTAGGGAGGATAAAGGAGAGTGATGCAGGGGTGAATTCAACAATGATATAGTGTAAGAACTTTTGTAAATGTCACAATGTACATTTACAATAATTAATAAAATAACATAATAAAAATATCTTCTGAAAAAAAATAAAATAACTGTTAAAATATTTCTGGATTCCTGGGGGACTAGGGAGACAGGGCGATCCTACAAAGTAGTAGGAAAAGGTATGCTTGAGGCTCACTGACCACTCTCAACAGAATGTGGTCACTGTTCCTTGTGACTCATTCATCCATCTACTCAACCAGCATTTATTCAGCACCAACTAATATACCAAGCAGAAAAACTGAAAGACACTGTCCTTTTCTTCCAGAAGTGATAGCCTTGCATGCAAAACAGACAAGTAAACAAAATAATATTTCACTACAGGATGGCTAAGTGCTGTAAAAAGTTGTGGTGCAAACTGTGAGGGCACCTCAGAGGCTCCCTAACCAAGAAAGAGGGAGGGAGTGTGGGAGGAACTCTGCCACTTTCCCGGCAGAACTGGAATATAAGGTAGTTTCCATGTGGGGGAGGAGGTAGAACATTCTAGGCAGGAAAACACTTGAGTTTTTCAAAAACTTAAGGAGGCAGGTTTTTCTTTTCCTTTTTTGGGTGTGTGTGTGTGTGTGTGTGTGTGTGTGTGTGTGTGTGTTAGTAGTACTGGGGTTTGAACTCAGGGCCTCGTGATTGCTAGGTAGGTGCTCTACAACTTGAGCCATACCCGGAGACAAGGAGGATGGTCTTTATGTGGAAAGGATTAATGACAGAAATTAGTTTAGCAGGGCAAAAGTCTAGGCTGTGAGTGCTGCTGGAGAAGCAGGTACAGGCCAGGTACAAGAAGAACTTTGCATGACTCCTTCTCCATAGACATGGGATCACTGCGGGACTGCAGCATGGATGTGCCTCATCACATCTGTGCCTTAGAAAGATCACTACAACCTGTAGCAAAGGCCTCAAACATTTATATTCTCTGACCTGTCAGTTCTCTCCTAGGGATTTACTACAGAAAATATGTAAGCACATATTAATTAACATGATTAATTAATCATTATGAACACTAACCTTTTTTGAAGGCTATGTGTCAAGCAACTTTTTAACACTTTACATATATTATCTTGTTTAAGCTTTACAATGCAGCAAAAAATAAGAAATATCCTAAACACCTGAAACATGAAATTCAGTTCAATAATTTATAGTCCAGACATCATACTAACAACAACTAGCGCTTATTGAGCATTTGTTCTTTAAAAGGCACTGAGCCAAATGCTTTCAATAAAGATAGTTTAATTTGACTGGGTGAATACTAGCTCATGCCTGTAATCCTAGCTACTTGGGAGACTGAGATCTGGAGGACTGCAGTTTGAGGCCAGCCTAAGCAAACTGTTCTCAAGACCCCATCTTCAAAACAACCAGAGCAAAACGGACTGGAGGTTTGGCTCAAGCAGTAGAGCACCTGCTTTGTAAGTACAAAGCCCTGAGTTCAAACCCCAGTCCCAACAAATAAATAAACTTAATTCCATCCTCATAAGATACATACTATTTTACAGAATTTAGGACATTTAGGCTTTATAAAGACTAGGGTAGAAACTGAAACTAGGTCTGCTTGGCAGCTTTTAACTCTATGCTGTAATAATTTATTTTCATGGAAACATAGTCATAAATATAGAATAGACTACAATAGAAAATTTCAAAACACATCCAAGCATTTATGGAAGCTTGATATATGATTGAGGTTGCAAGAAAATTCAATAGGGAAAAGATGGCTAGCAATAAATTGCAAACAACTTCAGTGTTCATCAGTGGGATAACAGATGAATTGTGATTGCTCATATTTGTATGTTTGTGAATATTTCAGATGGTTCCTGACTCTATGATAGTGAGAAAGCAGTAATAATCCCTCAGAAATCATACTTTGAGATTTGAATTTTGACCTTTGCCCAGGTTATCCCCACACTGTATGATCCTCTCATGATGCTGAGAATCAGGAGTGAGCAGCAGCTCCCAGTCAGCCCTGAGATCATGACAGGAAACAACCAACAATCTGCAGGGTGCCGTGTTGTTTAGTTATGATGTTCAGGAAGATGGATGTATTAAAAATTCATTTTCAACTTACAATGAATTTATCAAGATGTAATTCCATCTAAAGTCTTGAGGTATCAGTACATACACGGGTTAAGATGAGCTAGAGCTTCATGTTAACAACAGAGATAAATCATAAAAACACAATTACTGAACAAAAATTAAAAAGTTAAAGAATATTTGTATAAAATAAAAAGGAAGCTGGGTAGTAGTGGCTTACGCCTGTAATCCTAACTACTCAGGTGTCAAAGATCAGGAGGATTTCAGTGTGTGGCCAGCCTGAGCAAATACTTCGAAAGATCTTATCTCAAAAATACCCAACAAGAACAACAAAAAAGGGCTGTGGAGTTGCTCAAGTGGTAGAGTGCCTGCTTAGCAATCATGAGGCCCTGAGTTTAATTTCCAGTACTGATATCCTCCCCCAAAAAAGATAAAGAATGCCCACAAAAATCTGTATCAGACAATAAGCACCCAAAACTGTGTATCTGGGAGGGGAAGAAAATAAAACTGAGGGATACTCAGGAGACTTCAAATTTATCTGTAATGTTTTGTTTCTTTATAAAAAAAAATCTGAAGAATAAAACAAAAAGAAATTTACAAAATATCTTATTTTTTGGCAGTACTGGGGTTTGAACTCAGGGTCTCACACTTCCTAGGCCACTCTGCCAGCCGTTTTGTGTGTTGAGTATTTTCAAGACGGGTCTCATGAACTATTTGCCTGAGCTGGCTTCGAACTGAAATCCTCCTGATCTCTGCCTCCTGAGTAGCTAGGATTATAGGCGTGATCCACCAGTGCCCATTGAAATTCACAAAATATTAATGAAGAACACACATTCTTCAAAAATTACACATTTGTGCATGCCTATATGTACAGAAAAAGTATGTATATTAAAACATAAATGGAATTTGAGTGGTGGAATTGCAAGTGACTTTTATTTTACTTCCTACAGTTGTTTATACTTTCTGAGGTTTTTAACAAGTGTATGCATTTATTTCAGTGTACAGGAAAAACAGCAGGAAGAGTGATGTGCAGAAAAGTTACAGTAAACCTGGGTGTGCTATTCCTAGAAACTTCTGCTTGCCAGATTGGTCCTTGCCAGCATTGGAGGGTTCCCCATTTCCCTAAAAGATAATATCTACTATACCCAAACTATGCACACAATATGGTTTACAGTGAACATCTGCTTTCCTGCTAAAGGATCTGGAATTTGGTTTGTGTTAAGCAGAGGTGCGAGGTGACCATTCTTCAAAAAAAAAAAAATCCCAGATACTACTGAGTCTCTAATTTACTTCCCTGGGCAGAAACATCACATGTAGTTTGTTGCTGTAGTTTTGTTGCTGAGCAGGAATAAGTGCTTTGTGACTCACTCATGGGAGGGAGAGAACCTACCAAGTGTATATATGGATTCCTCAGACTCTGCCTGTGTCTTTCCCCCTTATGATCAGGCTATGTATCCTTGCAAGATCACTGCCATAATCTTAGCTACAACTATAGGCTGAGTCTGAAGTCCTCCTCATGAATCCCTGAACATGGGGTGATCACGGGGATCCCTGACATAGGTGGTCATACCACTCTGAGCAGCTGTGGCAGGAAGGTATTAGGAGGGCAAGGAATGAGACAATTAGAGAGAAGAGTTGAGACTTAATTAAGCAAGAAAATCAACGACAGTGGAGGTGGAGTGGAGGTGATGATGTCTCTCATGGAAATGAGCAACAGAGAAGTAGGTCACTTTGGGACACAGAATTTGGGCTGATCCTACATCTCTGAATAAAAAGTTCAGATGTCTCTGGCTCCCATTGGCCAGATAAATAACAAATATTATTATTGATAAATGAATTAACTTGAATTTTAAAGATGGAGGTGGAGGTGGAGGTGATGATGTCTCTCATGGAAATGAGCAACAGAGAAGTAAGGTCACTTGGGACACAGAATTTGGGCTGATCCTACATCTCTGAATAAAAGTTCAGATGTCTCTGGCTCCCATTGGCCAGATAAATAACAAATATTATTATTGATAAATGAATTAACTTGAATTTTAAAGATGTGAATTTCATACTCAAAACAGAAAAGTTAATATGAAGTATATTTAAAAATGGATATAATACAAAGGCAATGTTTAACTTCTAGTTATATAAATAAGTTAGATGGCTACTCATAAAAATCTAAATGTGCCCTTGGGAGATATACTTTATTCATTCATGTAACTAAGAAAAAAGAAATCCAAGGAATGAGCACAAGGCAAGTAATTCCAGAAACAGGAAGTACATACTGCAAACAGGCAGAACTAAGCATTACTGGAGCACATCCAACAGAAAGAGGGTATATTCCTAGGCTGGGTGTGGTGTACACACCTATAATTCCAGGTACTTGTGAGGCAGAGGTAGGAGGATCCTGGTCTGAGGCTGGTCTGTAAGACTCTGAAGGAAGATAATGATGAAGGTGAAGAAGGATCAGAAGAGGAAGGTGAGGAGGAGATTCTAAAGAGAAGTAACTGTGCAGACTTAATTCTTCCTCCTTAGTAAAGGAGACCATCAGCTGGACTTATTGTGATACTCATAAAAACAAGTTTTCACAAATGCTAAAACACTAGATAAACATGCATACATTTATTGATCTGTCTGGTAGCTTCTAACTCTATAATGGGTTTATTATATTTTTGGATATGTTTTTGGATTGTTTATTCCTGTTTTATTGGCCTATTATCTATGTGGCTATTCTTTCATGAAAATAAACCATTATCTGTGTGTGATGACACATACTCGTAATACCAGTACTTGGGAGGAGGAGGCAGGAGGATTTTGAGTTCTAGGCCAGTGTGGGCTACACAGCAAAACCCTATTTCAATCTTCCCCCATCAAAAAAAAATTTTTATAGCATGGAGTTAAAAGTTTCTAAACAGACCTGGCTATTGAACAATGTGTTATTTAATACTAGCCAAACTAAAACCTATGTAATAGGCAAAATCTTAAAAATAAGTTTAGCACTATTATATATATATATATATATTTAATATATATAAAGTATTAACCTAAGTAGGAGAGATTGGGGTTTGACTCTCCTTGGGAGGAAGCAGAGAGTGATGTATTCTCAAATATAAAGATACCGCCTCAGCTGGTAATCGCAGCCATGACTAGTGTTGTCTAAGACAGTATTCTTTTCCTTTTTGATCTGTTAAGATTCCTCTGCCCCTAGAAAGGTATCCAGATATTTACTCCTGGGCCCTAGGAAGATGTCAAAATTAGTATTAATAAAGTCAGGCAAGTATAGTTAGGAATAGTCTCTGGTGCCAGACTGCCTGAAATAAAAACCCAGCTCTGCTTTGTCTTACCTGTGTGACCTTAGTAAAGTTTCTTAACCTTTGTCTCAGCTTTTCTCTTTGTAGAATTGAATGAAAGTACCTGTCTTCTGTAGTTATCTTGATACTTAAAGATAATAATGTGCAAGCAAATATTAGCATTAGCTTAAAATAATGTGATAATTCTAAGAAGTAGAAATAATGAAGACGTTACAGTGTGCTGTTGTACTTCGGGGTGGGTTTAAGTGTAAACATGGTAAGAACTTTGGAGTCAAGGATTTGTGTGTGTTGTCTTAAGGGTGGGAAAACATTTTGAACAAATCATACTGCATCTGAAATTGTACTTGGAACTCCTCAATGATTTAAATGCTTAAAGACAATTTCAGTTTTATTGGATTATGGCTTTAATAAAATGAGCAATGAACAAATCCCAAATGGTGGTGAGCATAAAAGCTTTTGGTAATTAAACCAGTTGACATTCCCAAGGTGTTTATCATCTGTGGACTCCTTGCCAGGTAGATTTCACTCCCCTAGGTTTATACTCCACTGACAGTCACTTTAGTAGGCTCTCATGGACACTCAGGAGTTTCTAATCCACCAAACTCACATGGAATTACTGCCAGCAAGAGTCCCTCCATTTGTTTTTTCTTTTCCTATTCCTGGATCTCAGACTGTCACTGGAGAAAAACATTCCTCAAATTCACTTCATCTTTGAGCCCTTACCATTGCCTACAGAGCTTTTGCTGCTCCCATCTTTGGATACATTGCCACATACCAATTCCAAACCTCTCTTCTCCTCTATGTAGCTATTCCAAACCTCCATGGCATCCATTCAATTTCAGCACAACTCTGTCTTCTACTACACTGAAGGTTTGCAAGAGTGGGTCTCAAGGTGGTGGACTGTGGTAGAAAGCATTCCACAGGCATGCTTGTTATTACTAACCAGGACACTGTGGGTGAGTTACTTAAGGCAACCAGTGGCCCCAGCTCCTTAATACTCTCCTACCGCACAGAGTAGCTAAATACACTAAATGAGACAATATAAATCAGTTATCAGAGTTTGATAAATAAATGAAAGTTCATTTCCTTATTGTTGCCCAACACCAACTCATTCATCCCACTCTTCAGTGAATATTTGCCAAGTACCTGTTATATGCCAGGCAGCAAGACGTGTGAGGGCAACAAGACAGGTCTTGTCTGTCTCTGGGACTTTACCTTTGGGTTCTAACCTCTACTGTCCTATTTTCTTCCGCTGTTCCTCTCACAATCTGGTATGTGCATTACCCAGTCTTTTTTCCAGTATCTTCCATCTCTCTAGTAGTTTTTTACCCATACTTTCAAACATACACAAGTCTGAAACTATCTTTACAGAATCTGCTGCCCCCTCCCCCAGCAAAACAATTCTCACTTAGGCTTTCCTTCACAATTAAACTTCTTGGATGCATAATACTTACATGTCCCCATAGCACCACCACGTATTATACTTGATTCCCTGTTATTCTGCTTTTGCCTCTCACTCCTGAAACTACAAGCTTAAAAATTACCAATATATTTCTGATGTCATTCCAATTATCCTATAGCTTTTGACTATTTTGACAAGTTTCTGCCTCTTCAGTTACTGCACCTAACTACTATGACACTGCACTTACCCAACTTTCTTCCTAACACTAAAACTGCTCTCTTAACCTCCCCACACCCTTTCCCTGGAAACATGGGTGATGCCTGTAGTTAAGTCTTTATCCAGTGTTTTTCTTGCTGTCTCTGGGAAGTCCATCCACGTCCAAGCACCATTTTCCACCTTTACAAAGATGGCTCCCAAATCCAATCCCAACTTCTCTTCCAAACTCATCTTGCATTTTCAAATGATTGCAAATTTTGAATTAGGCATTCTGCTGTCACCTCCACCACTTACAACATCCTCCATCAACTCCTCTCCCTGGCTTCTTACATTTCTCCCAGATGTTTTTTTCTCCCAGGTGTCCCAAATCCACACTCTTACCTCATGCTCTTCCCTCCCAAAGCTAGTCACCGGGTCCTTTTGACTTTTCTTTTGCAATGTCATTTGTATCCATCCCCCACCATTGAACACCATCAAAATTCAGGTCCATAACAGTTTGCTTCAGACACCGCACATTCCTAACTGGCTCCCTGCCATGGGTCTCTTTCACTTTCTAGTCCTGACTGTGACCTCTAGAACAACTGTTCCAAAACAGTTTTTAATCGTGTTTTCCTCAGATTATAACAAAATTCACCCTGCTTTCTGGGTATAGTACTCGATGCCCGGGCTGACCTCAGTGTTCGTTTCTTTACCCTTATCTCCCTCTATTCCGTGACGTTGCACTCAGTGAAAATCATCTCCCTCTCTATTCTTTGCTGCTTCTTCACCCCCACCCCCCTTTTTCCCCCCATATCAAATCCTATCTGCTCCACGAAGACCGGTGCGCTAGGGCGCAGGCTAAGGGCAAGGAGCTAAAAGAGGAAAGGTGAAGCGCTTTCTGGGGAAGAGGGAGGGACTGGCGGGGGCGGCACCCTACATTTAGTGTCCATTCCTCCTACGTTTACCAAGCACCCATTATGGTCAGAAGGAGCCGAAAGAGAGCAGGAAGACCCCCAGACTTCCAACTTGAAAATACAGGATCTGACATACAGTGGATGTACACCATGAGACAACTGGTAACAGTGCCGGCAGCCACGTAACACACGCACACACCGCGGGGGACAACTTTGGATCCGCACCTCTGCCAGCCTAGACGTCGCCACACAGACTCTGCAGGTTGGCTCCGCCCACGTCACCCGTTCTGCTCCCACAGAACCTCCCTCACGTCTCCAGTGTCCCCTTGTCTGGACCGCTCTGCGCTCACTCGGCTCCTCCAAACCACAGACCCACAACCCTCACCTCCAGCGGCACAGAGTCCTCGGGACCCGGAAGACCGCGCCACTTCAGGTCGGGAAAAGCATTGCGCATGCGCAAAGGTTCTTGCCAGCTGCACCCCCAATGAATGGCCTGCCTTCTCACGGACTCCATTTCCCAGAAGGCCGGCGCGCTTTAATATAACGTTTGACAATCTGCGCACGCGTACGCTCCCGAGAAAAAGGCTAGTGCTGAGCCAGGTGGAACGTGGTAGTGTCTGTTTCTCAAGCGGCAAGAGGATGCCTGGGAGGTTTATAGTCACCCTGAAGTCCTGCCTGAGTGTGATATCACATCTTAACAGTTTTCCGATTGTAGGGCTGTCCAAAGGAAATTTATCTCCCTGATCTTTATACTCCGTCCCTAGCTCTGGCAAAGACCAAGACTTTAAGCATTCTCGCGTTTGGAAGGGGCTTGTTCCTCTTTCCATTTGTTCACTTTCAGGAATTTGATTCCGAAATTTTGACCAGACAGGCTTAGAGTTTGGGTCTGAGTACCGGGCTATGGCTGAGAAAGGCTCTGCACAAATATGCGCGGGAAGAAGAGCCGAGCCCAGGATACACGTGTTCTTAAAAGCTGGAAGGTGTGAATGTGAGAATGACTAAAGTTATGTCTTTTCTGTCAAAGGAGTTAATGTATAACTATCATTGTCTAGATGCCAGCTAACCTCCCCAATTGCTGCCTGCATTCTTTGTGAAACGTTTGACCTTGCAAGGTTCTTGCGGTCAAAGAGCTGTTTATCAACAGATGTCCTACTCTCAAATTGCTTGCTTAAAGATGACTATTGCCCAAAAGAATTTTCTTGTTCTCCCTGCTTCAAGGACCCCCTAACCCCACGTGCCCCCTTTTCTAAGTAACCAGTTAGGAAGACCGAACCCAAACCAGTCCATCAGGGTGAGAAACAAAGAGATAAAAACTGAGCTGACTCCCCGCTCAGTGTGTTCGCCTATCAGACTGTGGTCTGTGGCTGCATCCTGCTGCAGAAATAAAACTTTTCTGTTTTCCTTGTTGAGCGACTCCCGCGGGTTTCTTGATCACTATTTGGGAATGGCATTTCTAACAGGAACGACTCCCAACAATTTGAGCATACAAGTGGCCTGATTTTCTTGGTGCTGTTGGAAGGGCTCTGGCTGCAGACCCTGACTGAAGGTGGAGTCATCCAGAGAGCTTTAGACATCATGCTGCCTGTGGCCCATTCTGAAGAATGAGAGTTTAAAAAGATTCACTGGGGTTTCTAACGTGCAGCTAATGCTAAGAACCACTGAGTTAGAGCTCCAAGGAAGACCGAAAATTGCACAAAAAATGATAAAATCTTGAGAGCAAGTCCACCCTCTCAGTCAAAAATCCTAAAGTGTCTGCTATAAGCAAATATATTACAAATATGAGTAAGATACAGTGTCCTAAATGAACTCTTGGCCTAGTGGAAAAATCAGAATGTCAGATTGCTACAGTATGTTCAATAACTATGAGAGTACAATAGAGGAAGCAATTTATTGTGGCTGGGAAAAGTGGAAAACACTTTCTATAACTGACGGGTTTGAAAAATGAGTACTTTCTTAAAAAAAGTGCAATCTATGCAGAAAGAATACCACATGCAAAGGGATAAAAAAGAATTGGTAGCAACATTAACGAGTGACTGGTGGATGAGTCTGTTGAGTGGATAATAGTGCCTTGAGGCTAGGTTGTGGCTAGCTTTGTGTTGTGCTATTTGGGATTTCCTTTACGTTTAGAACTTTATTAAAGTCAAGACATGTAAGATATATATTTTCTTGCTCTTCCTTTCTGTATGGTGGTTTTATTATTAATTTAGCCTTACACTGAGAGAGGAAACTTTGGGGTCATAAATGGGTTTCCTTCTAGAATTCCCCATCCTTTGGCAGGCCCTATTCCCTTGGCTTCTGCCTCAGGTAGCTGTCAAGTTGGAAGTTTATGCTCTCCAGGATTTAGCAGTGTAAATGTCTGGTTTGCTGCTCACCTCTAGAATCCTACCTCTCACATTATTTTTTAAAAATCTTACCAAATTCTTCACTTTCATGCCTGATGACTAATACACTTGTATAAATATGTTTATAATTTTTCAGTTTTTTTCTATTGGAAGGGTTGCTTAGACTATAAATCTATCCTGTTAGTGGAAATATTAAGAAGAATTTTAGTTCCTTTTCTCAATGTTAGGAAGAGTATGTGGAAGATAAGCAGCCAAGAAATGATACACAATGCCTTGTTTAGAATGAAACAGATGTCTCCTTGGCCCACCAGCTTGTGGGCTCTGTTAAATTGCAACATGTTATGGATATCTGCAGCTCCAAACTTACTGGCTTAAAGAAATAATTTTAGTAATCGATGCATTCTGTGGTTCAGAAGCTTGGACAGGTGCAGGAGTGGTAGTGGTGGTGGCTTGTTTCTACTTCATAATTTCTAGACCCTCATTTAGGAGTACTTTGTCTGGCACTGGACTGGCACCCATGGCTGGGCTCAGCTGGGACTCTTGGCCAGAGTCCCTATCTGTAGACTTTCTTTATGCTTGGACTTCATCACAACATTATGGCCTCAGCTCAGAGTTCTTATGTGGTAGCTCAGGGCTCCAACAGTGTCCCATCAAATCAGACAGAAGCTGCATGACCTTTTATGACCTAACCTCAAAAATTAATAGTGTCACTTCTGCTGTATTCTATTGGTTAAAGTAGTCACAACCTTGCCCAGGTCCAAGAGGAGGGATGATTTAAGCCCACCTTTCAAAAGAAAGTATGTCAAAGAATTTGTGGTCATTAAAAAAAATAAGACTGCTACATAAGATATCCGTACCTCTCCTAACCTGGCTGTGTGTGTGTGTGTGTGTGTGTGTGTGTGTGTGTGTTGCTGGGGACTAAACCCAGGGCCTCACACATGCTAGGCAACTGTGCTACCACCAAGTCACATCTTCAGCCTCCTTCCTTCCCAATCATGGGTATTTCTCTCTATATATTTCAACTGATACTTCTGTGCCTCATTGTTCTGCTTGTCATGTTGCCTCCTGAGCTGCTGCAGGTTGCTTCTTCCAGCAAGCTCTGCTGCTCCCTCGAATTTCTCACATTTCTAGTACCCCATTTCTTGGTGTCCCTTGGTCTTGGCTCTCAGAGCATCTTTTCTCTTTGCTGCTCCTACCAGATACTCTTATCAAGATTTCCCATCTCTCTAATACGTATATACCTATCTACCCCACTCCCACTTTCTCTCACTGAAGAAAGTATCTTTCTTTATAGCAGGTGACCTGTTTAAAGTTAGCATCTTAACAGAATGGCATGGATATTACGAGGTAATATTTTTAGTTTTTCCACTTTGCCTATGAGTAGGGGATGGCTGTACTCATAGCAAAGATGTTTGAGTACTTAGTGGTAATAGTCTTTATTTTATACAACTAGCACTCATTCTGGAATGCAGGTATATCACCAGGAAGCTGAGTGGATAGGGTGGAAGAGAAACATACAGGCACAGTTTCACATTATACCTGAAAAACTTTGCTGCTTTTGTTACTTAGATCTAATTCTAAATTAGATTGTCTCTTCATTTCTGTGTATTTTTTGTTTAATATCTTTTTGCTAAATAGTTACCATTGGGCATCTTAGTCTACCAGAAATGACTGTATATGTATATGCCGTAAGTGTGAACAGGTTCCCATTTTTACCATGGGGCCTCTTATGTGGTCTGTTATTTAGACATTCTCATCTCTGCGACCACATTTCCAAGAGAAACAATTTAAAGGAGGAAGGATTTATTGCGGCTCATGGTTTCAGTCCATTATGGTGGTGGAGGGTGTAGTGAAGCACAGCAGCTCACATCGTGGCAGCCAAGAAGCAGATAGAGACAATGCCTGTACTGGCTGCCTTTCTTCTTTTCCCTCTTTTATTCCATTGGAAACTCCAGCCTATGGGATAGTGCTGTCCATATCCAGAGTGTGTCTTCCTTTCTTAGTTAATCCTCTTGGGAAATGCACTCACAGACACACTCAGAGGTGTGTTATACTAATATCCAAGGCACTTCTCAATCCAATAAGTTAACCATCAAGATTAACCATCACATCCAGGCAGTCAGAGGCTATGGATGGTGATGCTATAACACCCCGCATTAGTTTAGGAGGTTCCATCTACCATAACACTAGGAGTCTCTGCACTTCAGATCTGCCTTACAAAGTCACCACTCAGTCATTCATTGGAATAAGCCATCACCTTCAGACTATTTTGATTTAGAGACGCTCTTGCTATCTGCTCTTCCTCTGGATGAAGCAGTTTAATAATATTGTTCTTAAAACCTCATGTCTCCTATTATCCTTCTGTCTTCCATGGTAGTTGGGCACAAGAATTAAGACTATATTTCCCCACACCTAGGTGTAGTCACGTGTCCTGGTAAAGGGATGTAAGTACACATGTTATATAGCACCTTCTAATAACCTTCCTTAAAAGACAGCTGCACTCAGAATAAAAAGGAATGAACTGCTGGGTGCCAGTGACTCACTCCTGTAATTCTGGCTACTTGGGAGGCTGAGATCTTTTATACTGAGTGACAGAATCCAGTCTTAAAAGGTTACATACTGTATTATTCCAGTTATATGATGCTCTGGAGAAGCAAAACTATATGGTCAGGAACAAAGCAGTGGTGATAGAGGTGAAAAGGAGAAAAATCTGACTACAAAGGAATGCAAAGGGAATGCTGAGAAGATGGGGAATCTATAGGCTGGTGGGAGCTCCCCTAACAGTTGTTTGAGGTCAAATGGCACACTAGAGCACTGAGCAGGAGAGGGAACATTCCTAAAAAGCTACTGATTAATACTTGGGCAAAAATGTGCACTGTGAATGAGGGCCTGTGGATCAAGATCTATCCCAAAGGACTGAATTTAAGTGTGGGGAATTTCCAACTTTATAGCAGGCCAACAGGAACGATATCAGGGACAGGCAGTAGCCTCTCAGGTTCATCTGAAACAGTTCCATGTCTACTTAGTTATGTCAAGCCATTGATGAGATGACAATCTTTTCTCATTTGTCCACC